ATTAAAAAATGTAAAATTTTAGATTTAGTTAATTAAATAAGCAAATCAATCAAAATATGCATATTAAATTATTTTAGTCATTTGTTTATTTATTTTCTTGTGTTGTTTCTTTAGATAATCACAGTTATTTTTAGTAATAATAATAATAATAATAATAAAATACAACTTCCATCGTTCCATATTTATATATTTATATTATTGTTCTGTTTTTTATTGAACTGAAACTTATATGATCACAGTTATTTTTAATAGATAATAATGATGACTATAATAATAATAATAATAATAGCAACAATAATAATATAATTTCGAAAAGCATCACAGGATTGCACTGTATAATATATATAACAATGTTATTACTAAATTTTGGCGATAATTCCGCTGTGGCGACCCCAGATCAATAAAGGTATTAGGCCGAAAAGAAAATGAATGAATGAATTCCAAAATGTTTTTTTTCTTGTCAATTTTCTTTGTGTGCGTGTATTTATATGTGTTTAAAATGTATTTATATGTGTTTGTATATTCTGGGTGAGGCATAAAACAAAAAAAAATGTTTGTTATTAAATGTTGTCAGGCTGACATTTCCCAGAATTTCTGATAAAAAGCCCAAACTGTCTGTCAACAAATGTAGATTTGTACAACTGCGTACCTTCGTTTACACAGACAGAACTGCCGTTTGCGCGTGCACATGAGAAAGTGTCAGCAGTAAAAACAAATCCTGATAAGCAAAGCCTGAATCAAGTTAGTTTTGCCAGCTGGAAGACGGACGACACCATGGCTGGAATGTTTCTGTTACACAGGTAATGTTATGTGTTAAAACTCTTTTAGTCACGCAGAGCGGATGTAGATTGGGTTGTTATAAATGGGTTATATGCACAGAAGTGTTGTCCAGCCACTGAAATTTCCCGGCGAACCATTAATGTGACTATTTTTAGTTTCACAAGGGCCTTTTACACCACAGATAATGTAAATTTAGATTTAGTTTAGCCTGCTTTACTGAGCTGAAGTTGCTTTTATATTCACATTGATTCATTTTTGATCAATGGCAGACTCCCTATAATGTTCTCCTCTACATTCACTGAGAAGTAGCATGTCAATATGGCTTAGTAATAAGTGTAATTCCTGCATGCCACCAGCCAACCACTAAACATACAATAGTTGCTTTAGGACAAAGCACGTGAGAGAGTGAGACCAGCAATCCTTGCATGCATGAATTACTGCACATTCTGACAAGTTCTGCTGCTACACAACTGAAACGTGCTAGATATAATACAGTTGTTCATTGAGAATTGTAGTATTATAAAGTACTGTTTTCTAACTTGCGAATAACATGATCTAGTGGGTTGTGTACTGTCATATTAACAGTGCACGTCTGTGATTTAAGGAGGCGTGGCTTTAGATGGCAGGGGAGGGACTGTGTTTTCAAAGGTATTTTCTTAACATATAGCATTTTGGCAGATCACCTACTGCACCCTTAACTGAGCGAGTACACCGTTCACACTTCAATTACAGTGATCACCAGCCAATGCAAAAAACGTTAAAATTACCCAAAATTGTGGAGTAATTGAGCCTCATCAATATCCAGCAGTAGTTCATGTGTAAGAGCAGGTCAGTGTGCCTTCATTTGCACTTTAATGAAAGCTATTACTGCAGGAATTCACTTTCTCAAATCCTAAAGGCATCCAGAAGATCCTGGGAGTAAATGAAATATTCACATTTGTAGCGATCTGAGGCTCTGGAAGGTAATTCTGTTCCTCTAACAGTATCAGACACACACAGCATGTTCAGACGCAGCACTTTAAGAGTAATGGTTTGAGAGTTTTTAGCTGGATTTCTGCGCCTCTGGCCACGGGTCAGTCCTCCTCATGTGGAGAGAGCAGTCATGCCTGCGTTATGAATAATTCACTCTGCTTTAAAAACACCCTCATGGATGTTTTTGCTCTTTCTGTTGGATCGAAAATCAAGGGAGTTTCCTAGATAGCAATAAGTTAAAATAATAAAAGTAAATATAAAAACTTAAATAAATTATTCAATTAAAAAAACCTACTAATTGTAAAGTAAATGAATAATTAAAATAAAAAAGGAAATAAATAAAGCTGAAATTAAATAAATAAAAAATGCAATAAAATTATAACATTATATAAATGAAACAAGTAATAATTTAATTTCATAAAAACAATATTACTAATAAGAAATTAAAGATTAAAGAAAAAAAATAAATAGAAGAAAAATAAAAGACAATAAAAGAAAAAATGTAGTAATAAAATTAAATATAAAATGTTAAATAATATAAAAAATTCATAAAAATGTAATAAAAAATTAAATAAATAAAAAACATAAACTAATTAGATAAAAGATAATAAAATAATACAATTTAAATAAAATAAATAATACTTAAATTACATAAACAATAGATCGAAATAATAAAATTAAATATAAAATTGTAAAATGAAAAAAAATTTATAAAAAAATTAAAGAATAAAAGAAATTAAATAATGCATTAAAATAATAAAATTAGTATTTTAATAAATGACTACAAAATAAATTACAAAAACGATAGTACTAATAAAAATAGGATGATATTAAATTAATAAAAGAAAAAGAAAAGAAAAGAATAGAAAAATGCAATAAAAAACATAAAATTACATTAAAGCTAATGTAAAATAAAAGATTAAATGAAATTTTAAAAATAAATATAAAAATTTTAATAAATAAAAAAATAATTAAATTAAATAAACAAATATTACTAATAGGAAAAAAAATAATAAAACAAAAAAATAAAATTAAAAATCTATTGAAAAAGAAAAAAATCTATTAAATTGAATAAATAAAAGCAAAAATGCAAACAAATGATACAATTTAAATTAAATTAAATTACAAAAAAAACAATAGTACTATAAAAAATAAAAGATGAAATGAAAAAAGAGAAGAAAAAGAAAAATGCAATACAATAAAATAAAAAAATAAAATGAAATAAAATATAAAATATGAAATTTATTTAAATTGAATGTATTTTTTATAAATTTAAAAATGCAATAAAATTAAATATCAAAAATATAAATAATTCATTTGAATACTACTAATAAAATTAGAATAAATATTAAAAAAATATTAAATTAAATTACATAAAAAAATAATGAAATAAAACAAAAAGTTATAATAAAATAAAATGTTTTGACTTATTACATTGCATATGGGTGTATGAATACTTCACTTTTTTTTTTTTTTTTTAAATGCCCTCATAGATGTTTTTCCTCTTTCTGTTGGCTCTGGTCTAAAATTAAGTGAGCTTCCTAGACAGCATCAGAAATCCTTCAAGAGTTTCCCTAAGACAGAAAAAGTGCATTTGCATGTATGGGTTTGGATTTTATCCATTGCACCCAGGGTACACATCAGTTCAGATTAGTATCAGAGGCACAATTTTGGCTAAATTATTCTCAGTTTGATATTGAAGTTTAAATGTTGATTCATCATCCATTCAACAAAACACACTGCACTAGTTAATACAGGTTAAATAAAGGTCAAAGTTTCAGTATAGGAAAGGGACTGCAATAAATCATTGCACATTAAACAGAATAAAATAGAACAGATTATAATTATAATATAAAAGAGAAGATACATTTTTAATTTAATTTAACTGATTAAAGATTAGAATAGAATGGAATGGAATAAAATAGAACGGAATAGAATAAAATTGAATACAATGGAACAGAATAGAATAGAACAGAATATAATAGAAAGGAATTGAATAAAATCAAATAGAATGGAATAGAGTAGAATGGAATAGGATAGAAC